AAAAAAAAATTAATCAATGTAAAATAACTAACCAGTAAAGAAAAGTATAGCTTTTTCGACGTCAATACCATGTAAACCAAGTCCACATAAATTAGGATAATTTGTAGTAAGAAGAATGCGTTCCATAGATATTGACTCAAGCTCAAGCCACATGATTTTATGATGAATTTGAGGTAAAATTTCTAATCGAAATCGATCAACTATTCGATCAGGCAATGGTTGGATATCATCATTTGATAAACGTTTGAATAACGTCAAATGACTTGTAAAGTTTTGATCATATGCAATCTTTTTTAGTCGCTTGTTGACACCTAAAGAGAGAAGTAATTCAAGCTGATTGAGTTTTTGGAAAATAATCATAAGAATTTCATCTGGCAAATCATCCAATTGAATACAAGAATGTTTCATGTTTGTTCTTGTTCGACTGTTTCAATATCTTATGTATGTGACTATTTATATGCATATGCTCATTTCCTTTTTTGTGACCATTGTCAACGACCGCCAATGAGAACAATGGCACATTTTTCTATAATCTCCATTGGCGAACAAAAAAATAAATGAAAAAAAAACGTCTTTCTCTTTCTCTTTCTTTTACATGTTAATGACAATTTATTGAATATGTTGATTTAAAATGATAACATAGAGTTGTTGATGAATTACGCGATCCGTTAGGAGAGGGAGCATTTACTCGACGAGTTTTGTGATTTCGGTATTGGAAGATGGTTTCGATGTCGATTCTCTCTGCAAGTAGTCACGTCAACACCCTAGAATCGATTTTCGTAATGTACAGAAATAATCAAAATAAACAATTTTGAAAAAAGATTAGGTTAAAAGAATCTTTGATATTTTAGGAAGCGAACAACAAGGAGTGATCGTCTAAAAAATCGTGATTATATGAGCTAGTCACAAAATATAACGGTTAAGTGCAAGTTGGATGTAGGTTATCAAATAACCAAAAAATATAATCATGTGATTTGAATCTAATTCTTATGATAGACAAAATTAAAAGCTTTTTTTTATTAAACAGTCATGTTGAGAAAACATAGGAAAAAAAACTTTAGTCATGTAATTTTGTTATAAGCTTCAATCATTCCAATCTTTATTCTTCTTCAAAATCAGTTGGTACATCATATTGTTTCGCATATTGTTGCTGATGATATGCATGTGTATCATTTTGCTATTTGTTTTCCTCTTCTTGTGCATTATGTTTTGCTTTTTGTTCATTTAGAAACTTATTGAGTGCACCAATTACTGCTACTGCTTTTTCGATAAATTGATCAATATTTGTTAAAACCAAGTTTGGTGCACTAGAAAAACAATAATGCCTTTGACCAAGAAGTGAATTGAAACTTACTTATCGAGTATGGTGAAATCTTTCAACGAAAACTCACCGATGAAAGGTTCCTTTTCAACCTAAATTTGGAAATTATATTCATTATTCATTTTTTGGTACTCCTCCTGCATGTATGCACTGTACAAGTTATCGGTGACGTCGTGACAACCTCTGATTGTTGTCCCATCTTTAATGTATTCCATTGGAATTGAATTATTAGTTTTTTGTTAAATCAATATATTCGCTCGTCTAAAGAATGAGTAAGTTCAATTGGTTTTCAAAAATTCATACATATATATCCTTGATTGACAACCCGAAAGCCTTTCTCTACCATTAAACAATGGGAGATTACGATCAATTCATAGACTAACGTCAAACCAGAGTGTTTGTAAAAACCTAATGCTGTTTCGAGTAATGGATGAGAATCCATATCTAGAAGTTAATAAATGCGGAAACCTCGGATTTAAATCCGAGAGTTATGTGTACTTCAAAAAGTGAATTAGGCAGATGAGTCATCCTAGAATGTGTGGACATCAAAATTGTCCTGGCAAACCTTTTCTATAAACACTTGATTTCTATTGGCTACTGTTCAACCAATAGGATTTGGAGGCAGATACAGCTCAGATTTGAACTCTTCACCTTGATTTACCCTAAAAACCTCGTTTTTCCTATAACTTGATTTCTATTGGTCACTGCTCAACCAATGGGGCTTCGAGTCAAGTGGATTACAGATTCGAGTTCTCCACCCCAGAAAACCTCGAACTATCATCTCTGTGATCGAAAGATAGAGCTCTATTTATGGATCAATTAGAGCGTGGACAAACACAGAATCGAATTCCGTTTAATTATCCTTGCAATAGGTGAGCTAGCCTTCTTGTTTCTTTATGTTTTATATACCATTTTGTAGCTCGTAAAATTCTCTATCGAATGGTATATAATAGTTGGGGTTTTATTTGACTATGATAGGAAAAGTTTTTTACGAAAACAGAGAAGGGTCTATCTTCTCATAGGAAAGCATAGGGAAAAATGACTATTTTTGCAATAACTCAGCAATGACTTGGCCAATCATTCTCATCTTCGAACTCGACCGAGACATTGTTAAGACTAAACTGTGTAGAAAATTTCATCGCGATTGGACTCTTCTTTCAAAAGTTATCGTGTATACGGACGGACGGACGGACGGACGGCCGGACACACTGACCGATTCTAGAGTGTACTCACTTTTTGAGTACACAAAAAAACTAATAATGGACCATGATTGGTTTTGAAAAAAAACCAAGT